AAGAGGGTGGCGAGGGAGGCTGGTGGCCAGGGGCCACGTATCAGGGGGGATGGGCGACGACCCAAGACGACGACGAGGACGACAAACGGCGACGACGGACGAACGAGTGCAGCGACGCAAAGACGGCGATGACGACGACGACGGCAGCGCCAGCCCGCTCGGAGGAGGAGGGCCGAGGAGGAGGAGGAGAAGGAGGAGGAGGAGGAGGAGGAGGTGGAGAAGGAGGGATAACATGAGGAGGAGATGGAGGAGGAGGAGGAGGAGGAGGAGGAGGAGGAGGAACACGGAGGAGGAGGAGACCTAGGAGGAGGATGAGGAGCAGGAGGAGGAGGAGGGGGAGGAGGAAGAAGATGAGGAGGATCATACGAATGATAATGCTACCATTAAAACGCAGCATACGATAATGCGTATTAATGTCTAATCACAATAAGGAATATTTGTTCTAACTCCATGAGAAGTAGTAGTGTTTTAAGCTGACACGAGTCATACTGTCGATAATAAACATAATAGTAATATTACCTGAGAGTGGACATCATCATCATCAACAACAACATACGGGTAATACTAGCAAACATACATGTAGAATTAACGCTCCGATTAATAGTAGACTAGCAGTAAGAAGAATACGAACACTAATACGAAGAAGGCGAAGGAAGAAGGAGGAGGACGAGGAGGAGGGGGATGATGATGAGGGAGGAGGGTGAGGACCGAGGAGGAGGAGGAGGAGGAGGAGGAGGAGGGTGAGGAGGAGGGTGAGGACCGAGGAGCAGGAGGAGGAGGAGGAGGAAGAGGAGAAGAAGGAGGAGGAGGATGAGGACCGAGGATAAGGAGGAGGAGGAGGAGAAGGAGGAGGACCGAGGAGGGAATAGGAGGAGGAGGAGGCGGACCAGAAGGAGGAGGAGGAGGAGGTCGAGGCGAGGACCGGACGAGGACGAGGACGAGACGAGGACGAGGACCGACGAGGAGTAGGGGGATGAGGAAGGAGGAGGAAGAGGAGGAGGAGGACCGAGAAGGAGGAGGAGGAGGAGGAGGAGGAGGAGGAGGAGGAGGAGGTGCGAGGACGGGCATCCAGGCACGCCCACACGCTGCAGACGGCGGCCGCCCTGGCCGAGCTGCGCCGCGCCGAGGGCAGCGAGGATCTGCAGCCGCCCCGCGCCGTCGCGGGCGGTGGCGGCGTGCGGGCCGTGTCAACGACGACCTCGTCGACCAGAGGAGGATAGCCCACAGTGATCACAAAACCACGGGTTATCAGTAGCACCACACCGATATTCATGAATTCCAGGGTGGGATATTGGCCGAACGAGAACTTTGCAGTGGGGGCCCATGCCAAGAAACACCCTGCCTGCCTCCAGGGTGCCCTGGGTTTCTTGGGTTTCGATGGTTTTGCGATGGAAAGCGTGACGTTCCCACGCCAACAATAAATGGACGTCCTGGGGTCTCAGGATTGGATTCCTTGCGGAAGGTTATTTGTGGACTGGCTTCACTGTAGAGCTGCGACCGTCTTGCGTTAGAGCGCGAGTTTTCACGCGTACCACGGATGCCAGGATAACGCTTCCCCTGTGCGGGAAGTTATCCTCTTGCCGAAAGGAGGGGGTCTTAATCATTGGCATTGGGTGGGGGTACCCTTCCCTATTCTGCTCCGCCTTTTGTGGGCCTCCTGGGAGGCCCTCGGCGCCACCGCTGGATTCGCCTCGAAATGCTGGTCGGAACGCACCCCGGAGAGGTCCGGGGCGTAGCGGTATCGGCGCCTCTTTGGTTTCCCTAGGACGAGGAGGGGCTTGATGTGAATGGCTTAGTGGCGCCTGAACCCCGTGGGTGGGTCCAGTTTCCTGGAGCACCACCCTGAAGGGCACGGTGGTCCGATGTAGCTCCTCCTCCTCCCCCTCCCCCTCCTCCTCCTCCTCCTCATCCTCCTCCTCCTCATCCTCATCCTCCTCCTCCTCCTCCTCCTCCTCCGGGCCATCTGGGTCCATACCGCATGGCTTGTGCCAACGAATCGTGATGGCCCAGGCACCGTGGCCAGGGCATTGCGGTTGCGGCTCCAGTGCGGAAATGCATTTTGGTACCTGCCGAGGCCGCGTGAGCTCGTTGGCACCATCCTTGCTACCATAGCCCTTCGGCAGTGCCGGGGCGCACCCAACCACTGAGGGCCCGAAGAGGCAGGGTGGAGGAGGATCTTGTGTGTAGGGGGAGCTTGTGGACAGTATCATCATCGTGGTGGGGGTGGGGGTGGGAGTTGGAGTGGGGGTGTGCACGATGGCCCTCTCCTCTCCTGGGGGGAGCAGGAGGAGGAGAGGGAGGGTTGGGAGGATATGCGGAGGTGGCCCCATGGTCCTCCGAGGGGAAGAGGAGATTTGCCCCTGCGAGGATTTTGGGCTCTGTTTGCGTTTCGGTCGGTCCCTGCCGTTCGGCTGTTTGTTGGCCCTCACCTTGTTCATTGTTGTGATCTCGTTCGGTCCCCCCTCGTCGCTCTGCGGCTGTCTTTCAAGGGAGTTAGGGATCCACGCTGCACTCCATGTGTTTGCCCATTTGCCACGTCCCTCTTCCCCCTTCCTCCTCCTTTCGCCCTTCCCCCTTTCCGCCTGGCTTGACGGGAGATGGCGGGCGCGAAATTGCAAGCGCCATCTCAGGATCCCCGTTCGATGCTACACCCGGCTCCGAGGATAGACAGGGATACGTGTGCCCAATGGGAGGGATGATGGACGGGAGGGGTACAAGGTCACATGTGAGGTGACCGCGCCTATCTTGCCTCTCTCCTAACTCCTCGCTTCCTTCCCCTCTCTCCCCCTGTTCCCTCCCTCAACCATTTTTTCCAGCTTCTTCCATCACTTTTTTCACACCTCTCTCTTCCCTACCCACTCCTCGCCCGTCGACCAGAACCCCCTCCATCACTCACACTCTTCCGCCTCGTCGTAATCACTATCATGAACATTACCATCATCATCCGCATCATCACCCCCAGGGCTTCTCATCCTCCTCCTCTCTGTTTTCTTCTTCTCCCCGTCACTTCTGCGGCCGCGTCCGCACTGGTTAGTACGGCCGACCTCGCCACATCAAGCGTGCCCTCGTGTCCTGTGTGTGGCGCCCAACGTCCTCCGCAGTCCTCGGGCAGTGAACCCCCACCCTGACACGTCGATTAGTGAATTGTCCGTTTTCGGTTCTCGAGGGGGCGCCGCGGCCGTCATTTTCCGGGCATGCGCCCGCCAGGCTTGGGCCCGAGGCCGTTTTCACTGAACCACGTTTCACTAAAGGTTATGTCCATGCCCGAAGGTGAGCGACGCAGAAAAGAGGGGGTCGTCCTCACCGACGCTGGCCCGTGATCTGCCCGCAAAAGGTTTCGCGTGCGTAAGCCGCCCTCGCTTCCGGTGTGGCGCGCCGCGCCGGCGGCCCGCGTAAGCCGCCGCGTGAGGTCGCTGCGTCATCTCGCGTCAGACCCGTTGTTCTTTTCGTCGCTCGAGTGGCCGCACGGCATGTAGGCGAGTCGCGGACCGCAGCAGCCGACGGCGGCGGCGACGACGGCCGGCTCCGCGCGGCGGACCCCCTCTCCCGACCCCCCGAGGACGAGGAGATATCCGTCGCAGAGCGTCGCAAGGCGCTCTGGAACGCTCTGCGCAGGCAGGCCGCGGCGCCCGATGCACCCTCCGAACCTGCCGGGTCTCAGACGTTTTCGACTCACCCTCACCCGATGTCATCCTCGCCCTGGCCTCTTCGTCGTCGTCCTCCTCCTCCTCTCCCTCCTCCTCCTCCTCCTCCTTCTCCTCCTCCTCTGCGCGGCCACCCGACTTCATCTTCGTCCTTGCCTCGTCTTGCGCCCCCCCCCCCCCCGAGGACGCCGCCGAGGCGCTGTACAGCAGGGTGCTGTACGGGCGGGTGGCCACGCTGAGCCCGCTGGACCCGGCGGTCCTGCCCCCCTGCGCGTCGGGGGGCAGAGCGCCGCAGCGGCGGGCAAAGGAAGAGCGGGAGGAGGAGGAGGAGGAGGAGGAGGAGGAGGAGGAGGAGGAGGAAGAGGAGAAGGAGCAGGAGGAGGAGGAGGAGGAGGAGGAGAAGAATGAGGAGGATTGAGGAAGACCGAGGAGGAGGAGGAGGAGGAGCGTTCATGCGTTCATGTCAGTAGGAGGAGGAGGAGGAGGAGTCAGTAGGAGGAGGAGGAGGAGGAGGAGGAGGAGGAGGAGGAGGAGGAGGAAAAGGACAACGAGGAGGAAAAGGACAAGGAGAAGGAGGAGGAGGAGGAGGAGGAAAGTAAGGTGACGGCGGGCCGCCCGCGGCCGCGGACAGGGGACCGCAGATGGGGTTGCAAGAGGAGGAGGAGGAGGAGGAGGAGGAGGAGGAGGAGGATATGGAGGAGTAGGAGGAGTAGGAGGAGGAGGAGGAGGAGGAGGAGGAGGAGGAGGACCAGTGCAAACCCCAGAATCATCAGCGATGTTGCGATATACTCTCCCTCCAAGTTTTCTCTCTCTCTCTCTCTCTGTTTCTCTCCCTCCACAGGTCCCTACAAGACTTTGGAGGAGGAGGAGAGGAGGACGGTGGCGGAGGGGCAGGGGGAGGGGGTGTTAAGGGGGTTCTTGGTCTTTCCATCGACGCAGTAGTGAGGGCCTGGAGGCCCTAGGGTTTGCACGAGAATCGAGACGGGGATCAACTACAGAATTGATGTACCCCGAATTGTTTTATCCCGTCGAATCTACGGAAAATCGTGGAAGGCTTCGTAGGTATACGGAACCGTCAACTCGTCTTTTTCAGACTTGACGGTCAAGTCAATTATGGGGTAAAGCAATTCTGTTGCCGATCCCCTATTCGAGAGAGGAGGAGGATTGGGGGAGGCGGGGGGGGGCGAGGATGAGGAGGTTGAACGGGATGCGTGGGGGGTAGGGGGACGAGAAGGGCAGGCCCTTGCCTAGACCCCCTCTCGTCTCTGCTCTCTCGTCTTGCCCCGCCGTCTCCCGTTCCCCCTCCCCTCGTCTCCCGTCCCAGGCGTTCATTACGTCGTCGTGTCCGCAGTCGAGGTGGAGGACGCGTACTTCGCATTGGAGAGCGACCCGGAGGACGAGAACTTCAAGCACCAGTGGGTCATCGAACAGAGATGTACTCCCGTACTCCCCGTGCTGCGACAGTCCCCGATGCCGAACCAGACCACGTCGACGAAGCGACGGAGTAATATTCTGTCTGCGTATTTCGGACCGTGGACAATGATTCGGCGCCTCGGATCGGTGCGGTCGACGCCTTTCATCGGCAAGCTAAACATCGGGCCTGAGGGGCGCCGAAAGAAGCGGGGGAAAGTCGCCCCGGCGGGCGTCCGCGCCGCGTGGAAGCGCCACGTTCGAGGGAGCCTTCCGTCTGTGAGCAGCCTGGAGCTGATTCAGAACGCGCTGCGCACAGTGACCACAATGCCCGACGTGGACGACGAGGTGGCTGTGGATCACGGAGAGCCTCTGGATCCTTTACCAGAAGGCGCTATCCCTTCCCTGACTCCAGGATTTGCTCGATCACAGTTAACGTCTGCGCCAGCAGACGCAGGGGCAGCCAGCGCCACTTCAAGTGGGATGGTGTCGAAGACAACGCAGGCAGCGCTTTCACGGAGCGTCGCGTTCTGGGCGCTGGACAGCAGCGCGGGAAGCGCGTTCGGCGCGTTTCGCAATGAAGATGGCGTCAGTAGTGCCGTGCTTTGACTTGAGCTCAAACTGCGTCCGCCAGGTTCTGTCCTCCGCCCCGGCCCGCTTCAAGCGGCGCGAGAGAATTGCCGCGAAAAGTTTGTATCCTGCCTGCAGCAAGCAGATGGGTCTGTACTTCTCGCACAGGGAGGGGTCGCCCTTCTTGAAGGTGGTGATCACCAGCGACTCGTGCCAGCTTTCCGGGATGCGACCGTCTTCCCAGAATTTCTGGCATAGTTTGATGGCCCACGATTGCGCCGGCGAGTCTGGGCGACATGTTGCTTTCCAGAAATATCCTGGAATTGTGTCTGTTCCGCAGGCTCCGTTCCCATCTCATCGCCTTTGCCGCCTCGACTTCCCAGTCTTGAATAGGCCCGACTTCCACAGGGAGCGAAGGGCCCAACACAGTTGCCTGCATGGGCGTTGTCTCTCGCGCCGCCCATTGCACGCTGCCGCGATAGTCAGCAATTGTTTCTTGACGGGAATCGGAACCAACAAGCTTGCCGTGCACGTCTCGCGCCCGCCCTTGCCTGGGCGCAAACCCTTTTCGCATTTTGCGAATTTGCCCCCAGTCTCCAGCGGCGAGAAGATGTTCCAACCACTCTGCACGGTCTCCCTTCACAGACGCCTTCGCTTGCTGATTCAACCGGCTCTCCGTGGCTACGCCCCCGCGGTTGGCATTTGTGCGTAATTTGATCATGTCCATTGTGCGGTCAGAGACCCATGGCCTCCTCGGCGTCGCCGTCCGGGCAGGGATCGCCGTCGCGGCCGTGGAGAAAGCCTCCTTCATGAGAGCATCGATGTCGGATGCCGTTGATACTGGCATGCTGTTTTCCAGCTCCTCTGCGCGATCGGCGGATGCAGCGGCAAACCGGTTAGATGTCCCAGGAAGGCGGAGAGCGCGCAGGTCGCGTCCAGGGAGTGGCTGGTGCCGCGGTTTCTCTGGGACCTGCGCGCCTAGGTCTGCGCGGGCAAGAAAATGATGAGAGCCAGAGCACGCCGCCGGCCACTTCTAACGTATTTCGCTTTGCCGAACCAGTCCGTTGTCATGGGTGAGATGGCGACGTGTCCGAAATTGTCCGGCGCGGGGGCGTCGGGCGGCTTCTCCCCCGCGTTATAACGCGTGACCCGTTGGTCCGCCGGTTGATCGAACGCTGCGTTGCCAATGAAAAGTTTGCGCCCGGCACAAAGCGCTGCTAGCAGACTTCGACTGGAAGACGGCTTGTACGCAGCCGCAGGGCTGCCGAACGCGCGGGGCCGCGCGACGCCCTCCCGCGGGGAGCGCCAGCGAAGCCGAGCATTGGAATCTCCCAGGCGAAGATGCACCAGCCAGGAAAGCACTGAGGTTGCTGGAAAAAGGACTGCCAGCCTTCGAAGAGTTTGCCGCTGTGCGGGGCGCATGCGCTACAAGCCTCAACTTTACCTCCAACAACCCGTCACGTCAGGCATGCCGTGCGTGCTGTCTCCTGCCTGAATCTAACCGCGCTATGGCGAATTTGAGGGGCGCCGATGAACCCGACCCAACTCCGGCCGTCTCTTCCTGGCCGGCGTCGGCGGCGCCAAAGAAGTTGGCGGGGAAGCCGCCATTCGAAACAGAATAATCGCAACTTGCCTTGTGCGTCTCTTGGATGCGCAATGTCGATGTCGAGGTGAACCATGCGCCACTCCAACTCAAGCTGTTTTGCGTCTGCATAGCCCTCCACGTTCCAAGGCGCCGCCCGGGGCAGCCGAGAACAAGGGCAAAGGGAGCCCTCGCGAAAATGAAGTGCTTCCTCAGCTCTGCTGGAATGAATGGGGGCAGGGTGAAGAGAGACAGCAGCATTGCTGGCTGCTGTTGGCGAGTGTTTGCATGGTCGAATTATCATCAGTCCGTGGTTCATATTGGCAGTAGGGCCGACTACCGGTGAAACAGGTGAAACACTGCTCATGTGCAGTGTTTTTTAATGGGGCCCGCGCACCTTGCCCCCCCTTTTGCGCCCCCCTTCAAGCCTTGGGATGCACGCTGGAGGAGGTCGTCTGACTTCTTACCGAAGTCCTTCATCAGCGGGTAGCAGTGTAACTCGGGCCACGTGGCCCGCTCGCCCTGCAACTCATAATTCACACTGTCTCTTACGACCATGGCTGCGAGCGCGTGCTCGCCCCCCGCTGTCACAATGTAAGGCGCCTCGCTGCTGACTGAAATGTTGCGCGGGATCCCCCGCTCGCCCTTTAAGATGCGCTCGTGTCCAAGACAATAGTTCTGGGCGGCACGCTCTGGCGAAGAGCGGTCTTCAGCGGCCCAGATCTTCTCGTCGCCGTTCGCGCAGCCTGCCCTGCGAAGCAGCCCCGCGGCCTTGTCGCGCGAATCCGCGTTGAGGAACTCCGCGGAGTAGGACCTGAAGGCGTCGCCAATTTGCTCTTCAACCGCTCTGTGGCTTGTGAGGGGTCGTTGAGGCCGCCCATGTTGCCCACGACCATCGTTACGAATCGCTCGCTTGCCATGTGGCTGCGGGTGTCCGGGGGCCCGGCGCCCGATGAAGCATTCGACGACATTTCTTTGAAGCGATGGTCGATCATAGCCTCAACCGCGTCGCTCGCCACGGGGACTTGCCACAGCATGTCCTCTAGTTTGTCAACTCTCAAATCGGCATTGATGATGGCCGCCCCCACGTCATCCGTCCGGCCATGCAGGGTTTCGCCGAGGGACGTGACCTTGACCTCCAGCTTCCCGAAGTCCCGGCGTAGGGCGTCCACCATGGATGCCATGGGTGCCAACTGCTGCTTGAGGAGTTTGGCGATCCCGCCCATCGTCACGGGCTCCGTGTCCACGATGCTGGCCTCGGCGCTTGATAGGTCCGGCTGTCGGGAGAGGTTTACGGACTGCCTGGCTTGCCCATTCTCCCCGCCGTCCAGCAAGTCGTCGTCGTCGTCCAGCTTGTTCAGGGGGCTCCTGAGGCGGGCCCGCTTGTTGACAGGAGCGGCAGGAGTGGCAAGGGCCACAACTTCGACTGGCGTTGGATCGGATGACGCCTCGCCTTGCACTCCACGCGCTGGGGTGCTCGGCTGCCGCGAGCTCGCCAGCATGGCAGGCGGCGGTCGCTCTGGGAAACTCGGGCCCCTGGGTGAAATTCCTTGAGCCGATATTGAAATCAACAAGTCTCCATATCCGAGCCGATTGATATTTTTCTTTCTTCCTCCTCGCCGCCCGAGCGGAGAGATTGCACGGCGATTGTCAACAGGTTTCTAAAGGCTGACGTTGTTCCCCTCTCTCGTCCTTCGCCCCCGCCACTCGCTCGAGAGTGCTGCATGCGCTGCGGTGGTCCGCTCGTCCTGCTCCTGCTCTTCGTCGCCCTCGCACGTCTTCCCCTCTTTCTCATCATCGAGAACAATAGAACAGTTAACCCTGATAACACGATGGAGGCGTGGCCTCACTGAGGCCCCCGTCTTCGCATTGGGGATCATGAGTCTGGGCGTTGTGGTCTGATACGTCTACAGAAGAGACCCCCTTTTAGCTCTCACGTGTTTGGCCCTCCTGGCTCAGGTCCCCTCCCAAAAGGGTTAGGGGGTACGTTTACTTGCTCATTACCCTTCCCTCCGTGTCCCATCATGCCCACCACGCCTTGGTCAGGTGCAGCACGCCCTGGACGCCCTGGCGTCCTTCCTGGTGTCCCGCGGGAGGCACGGGGACGCGCGGATGGCGTACCTGAAGGCGGGCGGACGTCAATCGGAGAGGCGTCCTCCTCCTCCTCCTCCTCCTCCTCCTCCTCCTCCTCCACCTCGTCCTCCTCCTTCTCCTCCTCCTCCTTCTCCTCCTTCTCCTCCTCCTCCTCCTCCTCCTCCTCGTCCTCCTCCTCCTCCTCCTCCTTGTAAAGGGCGCCTCGGCGCCGCAGCCCTCCGAGGGGCCAACGGCCGCGGCCCCCGAGGCCGCCGCCGCGTTCATCGGGGAGGGGATCCTTGGCGGCGTCACTAAAACAGGACAGGGGCGGGCGATCGCGGCCGCAGGCGCGCTGCGGCCCCGGTCCACCAGCGGCCAACGCCCCCGTCTCCCCGACAGCAGCGATCGCACACTTGCCCAGCAGGCGTCGAGGAAACCCACGCGCGGAACAATTCCCATGTGATTGCAGGAATACTGACAAGCTGCTGCGCGCGCAGCTCAACTGGTGGAATCCACTGCCACGCTCGAGGGTCCAACGGCAATATCTGTCGCTCCGTCCACACCTGAAGCGGTGACCTCCTCTGCACCTTCCGCGCGCCCAGCGGCGGTCGCCTCTGCCGCGTTCGCGACTCCAGCGGTGCTTTCCGTACACCCGCCGCCATTCCAGCGGCGCTATCCGCGGCCGCGTTCGGATTTCCGGCGGCGCAACCCACTGTGGCGCGGGCCGCTGCAACGGCGCGCGCCGCTGCTGCACTCGCACCCCGCGTCGCCCCGATGCGCCGCGCGATCTACCGCGCGGATGCGCGCGGCCAGCGCGCACAGGAGCGGACTTGCCCCAATTCTGATGGCCGCGGAATGCGGACACACAATCATCGGGGCCACAACGACGACCCTCCGGATTGCAGCGGAAGGTGCGCAGAAAGTCCACAGCTGGAGCTGGCAGCGCAAGCCGTGCCCGCCCGCGCCCGGGCATGGAGCGCAACGCGAACATTGACCTTGAGCCTGACTGTCTGGCAAGGAGGAGGGAGGAGGAGGAGGAGGAGGGGGAGGAGGAGGGGTAGGAAGAGGAAGAGGGGGATAAGGAGTAGAGGCAAGGCCACGAGAACCTTGTGGCTCCAGACGC